CTCTCATGCTCTTTAATTTTAAAAAAATCTTTGGTTTCTTCTTCATGTTCAACCACTTTCCTGACCATCCAGTGAGACCCAAAACAAGGACGGCAGAGAAGAGTAGAGAGGTGAAAGGCCAGGTTGCCAGATCCTGTTCCTAACCCCAAGGCAGGGGTCGAACCCTCTGTGCCTTCCTTTACCCATCACACTTACAGGCTGCCTTCACAGTGCTTTGAGAAGCACACGACTCAGTGGTAACAAGCACTCTGAAAACTTCAAAGTGCAGAAAAAACAAAATATTATCATTATAATTATATTTCTAGACCCCCAAAGCCACCCAAATAAATGTGGGTTTTAAGTTTCCTCTGAGTAAAAATTGAAGCACTTCAACACATCTGTTAGCACGGGTTACCTCAAAGCGGCTTCAACATATATGTTAGCATGGGTTACCTCAAAGCAGCTGCACCACCAGAGCATCTCACCCCAAAATAAATGAAGAGGTCCTTGTTGCTGCTTAAGTGGCATTCCATAGCATGAATAACAGAATACGGAGACAGATATTGGGGTTCAACCTGGAGATCAGAATAGCCAAGCAGCCAACCACTAAAGAGACCTTTTACCTCTACCAAATCTTCCAACCGAAGGGGCCAGATCCTGGAGTTAAAGGTGTGTGCCACCAGTCCCTGACCTGGTTGACTAGAATGGCTGTATTGGCCTCTGATCTTCAGGCAGCTTTATTTATTAAAACACAAATAATATACCACTATAGTGTTTCTGCTTAACCTCCCACCCTGTATACTAGAACAATTCAAACAGTTCAGGCATAAACTATTCCCCGATTCACAGAGTCCCCTGGATGGAGTCATTGTAAAGGTCCCCATCTGCAAGCTGAATCACAGATCTGTCGCTTCCTTAATGGGAGGTGTTTTGTATCACTTCTCCATCCTGTATTTTTTTCATCATCCGATTCTTCCCACACGGTCCAAAATTCCGGATACCAGGAAAGGTTTTTAAACACAGATTTCATTTGTGTTCTTTCTCTTCTATCCCCACCCATCCACAAGAAACACTTGTATCTCATTTTCTCTTTCACCCAATCTCCTTGACAAGTCAAAGGCTGACCCAGCAGATAACACCAGCATGTGATTTCCTTGTCTTAATTTCTCCCTTAGGATGTGCAATTCTCTCTGGGCTGAGTGCCAGGCTTTGGCTGCATGTCTTAGATCCCACAAGAAAAGCCATGCAACCCATGCCACAGTCTGTTTCTCAGGCATGTGTCTCTCAGGTACTGCAGTACATTCTCCACCCCCAGTCATTGAGCAGGCATGCCACTCCATACCAAAGACAAGAAGAGTCCTCTCTGGAAGCCTCACCTACAAAGGTTCAGCTACAGTTACCTACCTCACCACCCACAGCAGGGGCACCGCAATTGCTATGACAGTAAGGGGGCGCACCATTTCATCCCAGAGAGAAAGACAGACATGTCAAGACATTCCACCACCAGACAGCTTAGCTTCAGTTGTCTGGCTCCTTGGCCACCATGGAGGGGAGGGGTCATTGCTCTTCCCAAACTGAGCTTGGGTTCCATTGTGAGCCTGCTGACCATGCCAGGCAGTGCAGCAACTCTTTCCTTAGGTGAACCCTAAATAAACACTCAGCCCTACCCCTTCTCATAAGACTCTAGGGACAAATCAAATACAGTTTCACAAATGTTCAACTTGGGGGAGCAGTGAGTTTAACTGCGGAGGACAGGTGAGGGGTTACTGAAAAGAGCTTGGGTGACCCCAAAGGATGGGAAGTCTTACCTCAGCATGGATGACATATCCCCCATGGGTTCACAAAGTCCTGTGTAATTAGGACAGAATTACCTACAAGTTGCTGAGAGGTACAGGCATGAAGGTCCTATCTATCAGGTGAGTGGGTGCCTGATGACCCTCTTCACCCCCTCCTTCTATGAGTTAACACCAACAATCAATAAGCCCATCTTAGGTGCTGCTTTCAAATAGTCATAGCTGCTTTGATGGAGATGCTGGCCGTTTATACCGGGAAGGTGGTTTGCTACAGCAGGGAATCACTGTACTATCCAGGGACTCCACGGCTGGGCTATATCCCTAGCCTTGTCCAAATCCCATTTACACCCATATTCCCAATATAAGAAAAAGATTATCAATGACTTAACACTTTATTCAATATTTTTATACTAAAAATTTCAGAACTGCACGAATTACCTCAGGCCTGTCACTTCCAAAATAGGATCTGTAATCAAGAAGACTAGTAACTGCTCAGCAGGACCGGAACTGCATAGTCCTGAACTGTATCTGCATAGACACAAAGCCCCAAGGAGCATGTGCCCTGTAACAGCCAGGCAGCCATGCTTGTATCGTGGCAGAGGGGCAGAGAATTAGCCAGATCTAAGTTCAAACCCTTGCTCTGTCACATATTAAATATGGGACTTGGGTACAGAGTTCCTCATTAGCATAATGAGGAAAATACCAGTGCCTCCCTCATAAGTCTGTGTGAGCATTAAAAATTAATATGTACATGAAAAATTTTAAAAAGCCTGCTTTGTGAGTGTTTAGTAGCTGATGGCACTAACCATTTTACTCAGGGCATTTAATCGCAGTAAGACAACTATATTTTTCTGCAGCTGATGTTAACCACAGTCTGAAGAGAGCGGTCATCAGCACAGATGCCAGCAAACGCTGAGGACCGTGGAGTAGCAAGTACTGGTTCAAGTCCAAACCACCAACCCAGGTTTAATCCTTTCCCAGTCTTACCACTGTTAGAACACTTTAAGGAACCAGAAACAGAATTTGTTTGTCCCCGAGAACTAAAGAGTTCATGCCTTCGCATTCAAGTTCTTGGAATCTCAACTGTACTCCAGAGCTTCTAAGGTCCAGTCAACTGGACAACTGGACAATTAGTAACTCTACTTAAACAAACCCATGCCTTTTTAAAGGCATTTCTAAAACTTTCCAATCTTCATCAAAATATCTTGAGAACTTAAATGGGGGGGGGGGATCCTTAATGAGCTTTAAAAAGCCAGATTTATTTTTCATCTTTCGTTTCCTTAAATCGTTTTCATTTTCCATTTCCTCAAAAGAGGTTGTGCGGGCTGGGGTCAGGGCCGGAGAAGAGCGGAGGCAGGAGCCTCTCTCGCAGCTGGCAGAACAGCAACGCAGCATGGTGTCTACCAGCTGGACTTCAACTTGATCGCCCTGCCTTCGACGGCAGCACAGCACAGCTGTAAACAGGCTTCCCTTTGCCCCCTCATGACCTGTCTTCCTGCTCCTTATGCTACCATATTTTACCCGCCCCCCATCACTGTACTTAGGACCCTAAGTCAGTTCAATGACAGCGTGCTGGCAATAAAGACAATCCGTAATGTTACCGCCTCCATTTTCTCCCATGCTGGCGAGAAACCTGATGACCCACAAGGCTGAGAACGGTTCACACTCACAGACTGACTCCGGGTCTAAGCCAGAAAGAGGCTCAGCCTTCCACCTCCCCACATGAAAGAGCTTCCCATCTTTGCTCTGTGCTCGCATCAAAATTCTAACATTTCTGTGACAAGTTTTTGCCAAGAAAACCCATCCAGTGCTTGACCAAATATTACATCCTAGACGGTAAGTAAAATGCCAGTCTCAGGCAGATATTTGGGAAGATACTAGTACCCAGATTAAAGAATAAGGGTGGGCCTGGAGAGATGGCTGAGAACCTCAGCGTACTTGTCGTTCTTGCAGAGGACCAGTTTGGATTGCTAGTACCCACATGGTGGCTCCCAGTCGTCTGGAACTCCAGTACCAGGGGCTCTGAGGACACTAGGTGTATTTGTGGTACACAGACATAAGAGCAGGCAAAGCACTCATACGAATAAAGCAAAATATTCTTAAAAGGAGAACTTAGTTTTTTCCTCCCCATCCCAACTTGCAGCTAAGGATCAAAATCAAAGCCTAGCACACGTCAGACAGGCTTTACAGAGAGCTCCACCCCCAGACTTGGCCTAGTTTTCTTTCTCCACTTTCATAATGCAATAGAGTTAGCTAACTCTAGGCTATGCACAGGACAAGGGGTTTAAATTCATATCAATTCATTAAAAAGATGACAATTTTTGAAAGTATAATTTCAATTTTTAATTAATTTATAGGGGGATGCCAAATTCTATGGTATGCATGTGGAGGTCAGAAGACAACTTGCAAGAGTCACTTCTCTCCGCCATGTGGGTCCTGGCTATCACACAGGTCATCGGGCTTGCTGGCACGCACAGGTACCCACTGGGTAATCTCACCTGACCAAAAATACGGTTTCTTTCACAGTGGATGTAGTGCTCACCAAAGTAATAACATAAATAATAAAACCATTTCCATGTGAAAAACATCACTGAAGGGCAAGCAATTCGACAATCTCCCTGTGGTGCTGGAGCTCAGAGAGAGAGGGCAGCCCTAGCATGTGCGAAGTCCTGGGTTTGCCCTCGCACCACACAATGCCCACATTTCATGTCCTTTCCAAATAGTTGCTCAAAGTTTTTATATTGAGAACAGTAACTTCACATTCTCGGCTTCCAAAAGTGAGATGCCTTGCAGATAGAGAGAAAGTCAGAGGAAAAGCTTATTGGCCCAGGGACGTGAATATTGACAACTCACCCTGGGAGGAGGCAAGAGCAGGAAGGATGACCTGTGGATAAAAGGCGCCCCTGCTTCGAGTCACAAAGCACTTCTGAACTCACCTCCAACGTTGTTGCTGCTGTTTGATCTTGTTCTCTGGAATGCGGCTTTTACTTATTTTCTAAACTACTACATGTGACATTTAAGTATACAATGCAGATACACAGGTCACTTAAGACATTTTGATTTTGGTTAAATACTCTCCAGCAAAAAAAATAAATAAATAAAATAAAACTAGTCAAGGGCTATGGCTGTGTAGCTCAATAGTGAAGCATTTGCCTATCATATGCAAGACTCTGATTCAATTCCCAGAACTATAGTTAAAGAATTAATTAAAAAGCAAACAATCAGTACCTTTCCAAAGTCACGAACATCAAACAGGTCAAACGCTTCAAACAGTTCACTTTTCCTCATTCCAAATGTCTCACAGCAGGCTGACAGAAATGTTCGGATATTCTTCAGACAGAGAAACTGAGGAAGAAAAAAATAGCATATAATAAATTTTTCTGAGTGTGACCTGTCTTCTGTCACACATATGCTATGATAAAAGTGCCAAGGAAGGACCAATCTGTGCCTTTCTTCTTGTTCTATCTTTTCATGGGTCTGTGAGTCGAACAAAATAATGTTCTACATGTATACAGTGTGTAATCATCACATTCATTGCCCATTGTCCTTTCTTGTCCCCCACCACCTTCTAATTTCTCCCCTCTTTCCAAATACTCACCCTCTTCTGTTTGCACATAAGTTTCAGATTAAATTATGTAGGGCAAAGACAATGTACATTATCTAGCTTCCTAAGCCACCTTATTGCTTTTGATCAACCAGCAGTACTCTGAACTGACTGTGACCAGACAAACATGGTTTATACCCTCTTGAAACTTACATTGAAATACAAGCTGACACCTAAGCACAGACATGGAAACAAACCCCTACATTAAATTGTTGTTTATGTTTTTACCTAGGGCCTGGAGAAGGGATCTGGAGAGCAAGGAGGCAGGGGCAGGTGGAGCTTAACTGGGATGATTCGAAGGAGTCTCACCAAGAGGATGGACAGAGAAGGGAGGTGGTCTGAGGTAGGAGTGTCTAGAGACACTAGAACAGAGTGTGTGCTAGGGAGAAAACTAAAGGTAAGCTGGGAAGGTAGGGGTCAGACAGGGGAGGTCTATTGGGAAGCCTTTATTCTGATATAGAAAATCCCAGAAGTGTGGGCCAAAGGTGAGACAAAATTTCCTGGCTTCTAAGGGTCTTTCAGGAGCCGCTGTGTTGAAGACAGATGGAAGGATATTGGGGTGAGCACACGGTAGGGAGACAGGAGCGTACTGCACCAATCCAAGTGAGAGACGACTGTGGCAAACAAGGATACACGGGCACTGGAGGAGTCACTGACCATCGTGCAGCAATGGGTATGTAAGCCTACAGCCCAGGTGACATAGAAAAGGACTTCTGACCTAAGTTTTGGAATCTTCAGCGGCAGTTCTCAACCTTCTGAATGCTGTGACCTGATGTAGGATGTGCTGCTTTCATTGCTTTAATAAAGAGACTGCCTTGGCCTTTTGATAGGGCAGAAACTTAGGTAGGCGGGAAAGACAGAACTGGGACACAGCTCGCCACTCGTCTTACAACAGTGACCCTTTTATACAGTTCCTCATGCTGTGGTGACCCCCAGCCATAAAATTATTCTTGTTGCTACTTCGTAGCTGTAATTTTGCTACTGTTGTGAATCGTAATGCAAATATCCGGTATGCGACCACAGGGGATCGTGGCCCACGTGTTGAGAACCACCACTTTAAGAGTAGAGACAGCATTAACTGTGACATTGACGGAGGCCGACTTGGACCATGAAGTCTTGGGAGACCAGGAAGAGAAGCCCACAAAGGCATGTGAGAAAAAGTGGCCAGTGCTGGCAGAGAGATTCAGGAGAGCAGGTGTCCCCCAAAGTCATGTAAAGCAGAGAAGGAGACAAACTATATCCGACGCTCCAGGTGACCGGTAAGACAGAGACGGTCACTCACTGTCTAGGGAACTTGGCAGCGAAGGTTATAGGCTCCTTGACAGTAGGGAAGATCTATGGGGACAGGGACGGGGCAAAGGTTGCCGGGAGCAGATCCTGATACAGGAGAGAGTGAATGTGAAGGCAGGATAGAGGCTGATGAGTGACGACAAAGGGGACAGAAGCATGACGGTTATCCTGAAAGAGGTATCTTTACCCTAACAGAAGCATGACAGTTATCCTGAAAGAGGTATCTTTACCCTTACAGAAGCATGACTGTTATCTAGAAGAGGCATCCTTACAGAAGCATGACAGCTATCCAGAAAAAGGTATCCTTACACAACGAAGTTCTTGAGCAGACAAAGGAGAGAGGTCCCTATGTTGGGATGCAAAGGTTGACCCTGGATTGAGCATGCTAAGCTCAACCATGTGACTGGCACAGGAGGTGGACAGGAAGTTGCTAAGGACAACTTAAGAATCAGACGTTGGGGTTCAATTTTAATATCTAAAAGACACATATCCATCTGCGCACATATCCCCAGAAGCAAATTAGTTCTAGGTCTGTTTGCTTGTTTGTTTATAACAAGTTCTTAAAATGTCATCCCAGCTAACTTGGAACTTGCTATATAGCCCAGAACGGCCTTGAACTCAAAGTAATCTGTATGCCTCAGTTTCTCATGTGAACAATGATGTTATAGACATAAGCAGAAAACACTCTCAGCTTAGTAAGTTAATAATTTTAGAAGCAAGAGCTGCCATGGTACACATCTTAAAAGTTTATGTATTTATGTCAAAACTTTAAATAACTGTGACTTATTATATGTCAATAATACCAAAATAATTTCATAAACATAATCTTCTGGTGGTTGGTGTAGTACACACCTGCAACCCCAGCTCATGGGGCGATAGAATGAGTACTGGGAGTTTAGAGTCATCCTCAGCTATACATTGAGTTCAGAGTTAGCCTGGGCTACATGAGAGCATCTCAAAACCAAGGAACAGGGAAAAAAAGAGAAGAAAAGAAAAGAAAAAAAGAAAAAAAAAAAAGAAAATTAACCTCCAGTAAGTGAGTAACATTAGATAACCATCACATCTTTGTTTTTGTTTCCAAAGCACTGACTATCAATATTGGATCTCGTTTTGCTTTCATGAATTTATAAATTTTGAAAAAAAAAAAGACCTCATCTTGCTTTTTCTGCATTCTGATTTGTCATGGACTTAACTTAGACACCTTTTACCCTTTACAGGAATCATTCTCAAAGGCCTAAATATTTCAGGAGGGGTTAAAACCACAAGGGAAGCATCACGAACCCTTTGAAATGGAAACAGTAACCAATCAGCAGAAGCAGCCACTGCCATCTCTTTAAAGATTCATGAGACCTTTACAACACAGCGCCACCCTGCATGCAGCCCCTCCACACAGAATTGCTTATTTACAGATTAAAAGCCTTGCATTCTGCCAAGACGAGCAATAATTACTCTCTGAGGGATTATGCAACTGCTCTCTTACAGTATTTTTTTTTACATAATTAAGTGACGAGAATCATAGCTCACCGTGGTTGCAAATGTCACCCTCTGAGGATGGGATGTCTCACTAAACCCACATTTTCCCCATGTGTAGGAACAACTGCAGCGGTCTTCTACTAAAGTGCTTTAATCACGAAAGTCAGAAAAGTAAGAGGCATCAATCAAAGTTGAAACACTTGAAAATAGTCACGAGGCCTAAAAAACAGGCAATGCCTTAACTGGAGCCAATACTAACCTTACTTAACTTTGCAAGTTCAATTCTGTTAAGCTCAACAATTGAACAATGTTAGTCGGGTGCTACTGCCTTTCCAGGGAAGCTTCAAGCCTGATTATCCTCTTTGATACCTGTTCCTTCTAGCCAGCCATTTATGAATGCCTGCAAGGTTACAGACGCTGGAAATGCTAAACAGCTCTGCTTTCGGCTTCCCTAGTAATATTCCCAGGAGCTTTTCACAGCGCCTGAAAATGGGGCTGAGAGCATGCACGGAGCTCGCCATGCACTCTGCACTCCTGAGTGTTCTGCTCTGTGCCCACACAGACACAGAGTTGAGGGACAGATGAGGTGGGCTGTGGCATCATTAGGGAGGCCCCAAACACAGCTGAGCCCGCCAGACTGTGTCCCTCCCCCAAAATATTTGTTACGCTTTGATTCTATTCATTGTTTCTATTTATTTAAGAAATCTAAACAAAGGCTGCGAGACTAATACACCACATAATCCAATCTGTGTAGTTACGACAGTGTCAGGCACGCTTTTGTGCGTGTGTCCTTTATTATCCTGGCCTTTTGGGGTGTCTGTGCTGTTTGAAAGGAGGGTGCAGACAATGTTCTTCACTACTAAATCATTCACCGGGCATCTGACATACCAATAACATCAGCACACATCAAAAACTCTGCTTTCATCGTATTTTCAAATTTCGTTTTAGAAGGAATTAATAATTAATATCCATTGACGATTCAAGTTTCCACCATTCCATCCTCGACTTCTTTCTATAACATTTTTCACTCATGCTAAGATTTACTCCAGTGGTTTTAATTGCATTTGACCACCTTATCTTTGGGGTATATTTTCGTTTCAGCACATTTTAGCCAAAATATAAATATGTCACTTCCCTCTTCCCTTTCTTCCCTCTAGCCCCTCCTATGCATGTCACTCCCTGGCACCTCCCATGCTACTCCTCACACTGATAACCTCTTATTTTTATATTATTGCTATATGCACTAATATATAAACAAACCCACTAAGTCCATTTTTGTTGTTCGTGTATATATTAAGACCTGACCACTTCAGATTGGGTAACCAAGTAGGGGGCTCCTCCCTGGGAGAGGCTAATTCTCCCTCTAGGTGGTCACTAGCTGCCTACAGTTCTTTGCCTGGGGGTGGGATACCTGTAGCTTTTCCCTCTTCCGCATTAGCATGCTTGTCTGTTGATTCTGCATTGTTCATGCCTTGCTTATGCAGCCATTTCTAGAAGAGGTAACCTAGGAGCAGATATAATATATTTTAAGATTTCTTCTTTTAGATTGAATTTTATGAAAATGCCAGGATAATTAGCTTATAAGATATCCCACATTATTGGTTTGTCTGACAATTTTCGATAGAATCACTAACCTGTTCTTCCAGCATCTACCCTGTCAGAGAACTGAAGCCTACTTGGTAGAAATAACTCATACTGCAGACCTCACAGTTCATCACTCAAAAGGCACAGGATGAAGCTGACATCTGACTAGTCCTAAGGTCCATCATTTGGTTAAGATGGTTGCTGGTCACTTTACCACTTCTCTATGTATTGGTTTTAACATTCCTACATAGCCTGAATGTGAAAGTCCTATGTCTGCCTTATTTCTAAACCATTTATCACATGGATACACTGACCACCCTTTCCGACATCCACTTGGGACTGTAAAATAATGATTTTTTTTCCAGTTCCAGCTTCCTTCCTCACTTACTAACTG